TCCACGCCATGGAAGAGGATTTGCCGGGTTCACTCCTACGCTATCATACACACTAATGATACTGTGCAACCTCCACTTTGGGATGGGAAACCATTCTCCTCCAAGAATACCCTCATTTCACTTTATGGAGAACTCCCTTCCCGGCTCTCTTGCAAGTACATCTGGCATAAGGCACAAACCCCCAAACTCCGAGTCTTCCAATGGAGAGCTTTCATGAACTGCCTTCCTTTCCCGGAGTTAACCAAGTGCTTCAGCTCAAGTTTCCCCAGCCAATGTCCTCTTTGCAAGCAGGCAGAAGACTCCCTAGACCATACTCTTGGAAATTGCAAATTTGGCCACCAGGTTTGGAGGTACTTTGGCACTCTCATTGATGCACCCTTCACAGCGCCCAACCTCAAAGTTCACCAAATCTTCATCAGTTGGTGGTTCTCCGGTGATACGTTCTCCTTCAAAGGTGTTCTGCGAATCATTTTGCCCGGTGTCATTGCTTGGCACCTCTGGAAGGCAAGAAACTTAGCAATTCATGAAGGCCAAATCCACACAACGGAAAGTATCATCCAACAGTGCTTTAAACATATTCAAGCATGGAGTTGGGCTTCAAGACGCAAAAAGTGGTTGATTCATGATAACACCTTCAGGGGTTGGGGTTTAGATTTATTCTGGATAAATGGTAACAAACTTTTGAATGTGGTGTAGTTAGGCACTTAGGCCTTCTCTATCTTGTATCTCCTCGTTTTTTTCTTCTATCTTAATGAAACCTCCTTTTTATTAATATATATATATATATATATATATATATATATATATATATATATTATTTACACACACATGAAAATTAATATGTATTGAAATAATACTTCCTTTATCTATAAATAAAGAATTTATGATGTATTCATAAATTTATAAGCAATTTACTACCTCCGTCCCGCTACTTCCGCCGAAGATCCTGCAGACTTCAATAATCGATTGCCACCATGTTGTAAATCGATTGTTGATGGTTTGCACCTATCAGAGAAGGTTCTGCAGCCCCTGATAATCGATTATCTCGACTTGATTAATCGATTGTTGAAGTTTTGTGGTTGCTTTGCTACAAACTTCTGCGGGCAGTGATAGTCGATTATCCTAATGTTTATAATCGATTGTTGGCTCCTTCAGTTTCTTTGCTCCAACTCCTATGGGTTGTGATAGTCGATTATCACAAGCCTGTAAATCAATTGACACCAAGTCTGGAGACAAAAAATTGATTTGCTTTGTTCCCCCTGACTTTGACACCTGAAAATAAAATTAAAAGAAGAGCCTTGCAAAAAAGAATTAAAAACGTCTCCGACGTTCAAGTTAGTAAAGATAAAAAAATGATAAGTAATGCACAACTTAAATCATCGTGGAGTCAAGGATTCTGAGTTCACTACGAATGCGGAAGAACGACTCTTTCTCTAAAGGTTTTGTGAAAATATCGGCTAATTGGTTGTGTGTTTCAACAAACTCAATTTCGACATCACCTTTGAGAACATGATCTCTAATGAAATGATGCCTAATGTCAATATGTTTCGTCCTTGAGTGAAGAACTGGATTCTTCGTCAAGCTTATGGCACTACTATTATCACATCGAAGAGGGACGTGATCGATACTAAGGCCATAATCCACAAGTTGTTGCTTCATCCAAAGGATTTGAGCACAACAACTACCGGCGGCAACATATTCCGCTTCGGTTGTGGATAACGCAACACTGACTTGCTTCTTACTAAACCATGAGACTAAAGAACTACCAAGCAAGTGACAAGTCCCACTCGTACTCTTACGGTCTAATCTACAACCGGAAAAGTCTGAGTCGGAATAGCCAAAAAGATGACAAGGAGACCCTTTGGGGTACCATAGTCCAACGTTCATTGTACCAACAAGATATTTCATTATCCGTTTCACCGCCGTTAAATGCGATTCTTTCGGACAAGATTGTTACCTTGCACATAAACAAACGCTAAACATGATATCGGGTCTACTAGCGGTAAGATAAAGAAGGGATCTGATCATACCTCGATCCTTCTTTACGTCTACTTCCTTACCCTTTTCAACTTTGTCCAAATGTTCGGAGGTGCTCATTAGGGTAGCCATTGCCTTGGAGCCATCCATTTCAAATCTCTTTAGGAGCTCCTTGCAATACTTTGATTGACAAATGAAGGTCCCTTCGCTCATTTGCTTGACTTGTAACCCCAAGAAGAAATTGAGTTCCCCCATCATGGACATCTCAAATTCATTTATCATTAAGATTGAAAATTCCTTGCACAAAGATTCGTTAGTAGCACCGAATATAATGTCATCTACGTAAACTTGCACCAAGAACTGAATATAAATAAATAGTTTCAACCCGCCCATTGAGGATTCTCTTTGGGTTTCATCAAGCGTGGCCTCAGGGGATCCGTCCGAGTGTCCATGGCTTAGTTAGTCAAAAGGAACCTTAGCCTATAGGGTTAAGTGTAGTTGAACAACAGGAACTGAATATAAATAAATAGTTGATCATGATATTTGATAATGATATTTGGTGATTCTTCTGATGTTGTATGATTGTATATTGATGAGTGCTAGTCTATGAGTTAGTTCTTGCGTTAGATACTTCCACTCTTCCTATTTTTACAGGTAGGGATCAAGGATTGGATGAAGAGCAGCCTGGAGGACAGTGAAACGTGATGCTGGTGGATGGCCCGATGCTGTTTGAAATTGAATTAAATACTTGTTGACTTTTATTTTGTTTAAACTACAAGAATGCTTGACGTTGTTGTTTTAAAAGCTTCCGCAACGTTTGAATTATTTACTCCGATTAATTATGAATTGTTTTTAATTAAATATAATGTATGTTTTATTTTAAATGTTTTCAAAATATTATGCATATGAATACCAAATTAGTGACAACCCGACTCGCTAATTCGTCGGTTCGGGTTACGCGGGTTGGGGTGTTACATTTTGGTATCAGAGCATGTGGTTTTAAAAACGATTCTCAGAAAAAAGGGGTAAATTTATTTTCAAAAAAAAATGTTTACTTTCAAAAAAAAGGGAAAAAGGGCATCCACAGCTTCGCGACGTCACTGCTTCAGGAGGTAACTCTAAATCCTTATTATGTGCTGAAAATTGTTGTCTTTATTGTTACTTGATTTGTTTGCTGCATGTGGTTTATGTAAAAAGAAAAAAAAAGAATTCATGTGTAAAAAAACATAAGTAAGAGAAGATTGAGAGAATTCAACAACGTTAGTTATGAGGAAAAAGGGTAAAGTGAACCTAGGTAGTAAATTGTAAAAAAAAACCTCAATTCACAATTATTCAGGATGACTAGTGCGTTCATGTTACAAAAGATACTGTGTCACATGCTCAGAAAGCACGTAGGCGACTCTTAAATAAAATCTTAAGTATTCTAAACAATCACTTGTGAGCTGGGTTGCGAAAATGTTGAAGTCCTAATTTGATTCTTCATGAATGAAAAAAAACAAATAAACGACAACTGCAAAAAAAAAACAAAGCTTAATTATAATAACTAAGGTTGCTTAAAAGATAAATGTTGTGTCAAGAATTGCTTTGTAAAAAAAACTGCAATGAGCTTGCGGAGTTCTATTGAACTACCTTTATAATTTTTCATAATGAATTTCGTTTAAATCAAATTGATTTGTTTGAAAAGCAAGTATTGTCTTTAAAAAAATGATTTGATTATTCAACCAATGTAGTTTCGTGAACAATTGAAAAAAAAATAGTAGTCATAAAATATTTTATTTAATACTCAATTGTTTTGTTGATCACTGGAATGACAATCAAATTCAGAAGGGGCTGCAGACCCGGAAGAATAAGAGTGCTTTGTTCCGGTGTGAGACGAGGAATAAAAGGGGTAATGAATAAAAACGTGGCAATTTGTTTTTCTTTAAAAAAAGTGATTAAGAAACACACTTATAAAAAAATAGGGGTACCTTGTTGGAAAAGTATAGTATTCTGCATATAAATATTCAAAGTATATTGCTTAATCTTTACAAAAAAAAGGGTAAGAATAGATTTTGTCAAAAACTACCTTGATATTTTTAAAAAAAATATATGTATTCTATTTTGCAATTAAAGATTTAAGGTAAATTACCTTTCCTTTTAAAAAAAATTGTAAGTTAATTCTTTGGATAGGAAGTGTATTGATAAAGTTACAAAACATATGAAACAAAGGGTGTTTTTACTCATAATTAAAAGAGTCTATTTTACAAAAAAAAATGTTTAAAAAAAATGGAATGTATTGGATTTCTTATTTTACACTCTCTACCTTAGAAGAATTTCGGGGACGAAATTCATTTTAAGGGGGGAGAAATGTAACGCCTTGAAAACCGACTCAGTAGTTAGCCGTTATTTTAATAAAAATAAATAAATTATTTACTTTCTTTAAAATATGAAATATTTGTAAAGTTGACCATTTTAATTAAAAATTAGATTTTCGGGTAGATCTCGTAAAATGGTGACCAACGGTATATAATTTGTTAAATTTGACCTTTCGTGTACACCGTGATAAACAAAATAGACGTTACAGTTCAATAAATATAATAAAGAATTTTAATAATAAAGTATTATAAAAACCTAAGTCGGGGAAGTTTCGCCGGAGTTGTTGCCAAAGTTCTACAAGGATCAGCTGGGGTTTAATTTGTCAATTGAGGTGAGTGAATTATCTCCCGCTAGAATTGATTCGTAGATTAGTATTCCTTGATATATTCTTGTGCAATTGATGTTGAATTTGTGGCTAGGATTATTGAATTGTTTGATTGAGTTGTGTTGGGACGTAAATCGAATTCAGATAGTTTTGAATAGGCCATGTTTATCTTCCTCGTCTGCTCTGCTCTCTGTCTTCTCTGCTCTGTTTCTTTTGTCTGCTCGCTGCCATTTGTACTGGGGATTGACGCTGCTGGAACTGTTCGCCGCCGCTACGTGGGTCGCCGGCCGCGCGCAGGTTCTCGCTTAGTTTTGCCGACTTGCGCTGTTGGCCTGGCCTAGTCGCAAGGAGGAGTTTGGTGAATTAATCCTTCCAATTGGGGAACATGTAGTTCCTGATATTCCAATTTGACCCCCACGCACCTCAAATCCCTTACAATTAGGCCCTTTTCTATATTATGCCTCTAAAATATGAATAAAGACTACAAATTAATCTAATGCATTGCTTAAACTAATGAATTGAGTAAGGATAACTATGTGACTAAATTGAATTATGGAAATAAGCCACCTGGTATATGTAGGAAGGTCTGAGTTAAACTGAATTCATAAGGATTATGATTTAGGATTAGGCCTGGTGGGGCGAGCTTCGCATAACTCACAGGTCTTGGGTTAAAAACGTACGTACGGGAGTCATTAGCCTACCTAGGGATTCCTTTGTAGGGGCTCCAACCCGCCCATTGAGGATTCTCTTTGGGTTTCATCAAGCGTGGCCTCAGGGGATCCGTCCGAGTGTCCATGGCTTAGTTAGAGCATCTGCAACGCTTGTTGTATATTTTGGTAGTGTAAAAGTAATTTTACACTATCAACAGTGTTTTACACATCCACTTTTTTATATTCTCTCCAACCATATCTTCTATATAAAATACTTTTATAATATTTTATTATTATACTGTTATTTTACAACCTTTCATATCTACTCTCCTTATCCAAAAATTAATTCCAAATTCCAAAGCAAACCTATTGCAGCAATTTATCCGAAAGAGGTTTTGAGGAGAGTATCAATTTTGCATTCCAATTTTAGGGTAGAGCAAATTAAAGAGATGAATAAAATCAGAGGTAAATTAGAGCGCAATTAACCTGAGAGAGAGGTTACAGAGTGCATCAGTTTTGGCTTGAAAAGAAACTGAAGCAAATTGAGAGAGGGGTTGGGAGGAAGAAATTGAAGCAAAATGAGAGGAAGAGCCGAAGAGGGGGGAAATGAAGAAAAAGAAAAGAGAAAACAGTGACTACACTATCTACAGTGGAAGTGTAGAAATAGGAGGTGGAAATTGATTTTTGCACTATAGTGCTTTTTAGCATTAGGTATACACCATCCGTTCGAGGAGATAAAATGAATAGTAAATTGGATATAGGGTATATTTAACCATATACACATTACGTTGAAGTTGCTCTTAGTCAAAAGGAACCTTAGCCTATAGGGTTAAGTGTAGTTGAACAACAGGAACTGAATATAAATAAATAGTTGATCATGATATTTGATAATGATATTTGCTGATTGTTCTGATGTTGTATGATTGTATATTGATGAGTGCTAGTCTATGAGTTAGTTCTAGCGTTAGATACTTCCACTCTTCCTATTTTTACAAGTAAGGATCAAGGATTGATGAAGAGCAGCCTGGAGGACAGTGAAACGTGATGCTGGTGGATGGCCCGATGCTGTTTGAAATTGAATTAAATACTTGTTGACTTTTATTTTGTTTAAACTACAAGAATGTTTGACGTTGTTGTTTTAAAAGCTTCCGCAACGTTTGAATTATTTACTCCGATTAATTATGAATTGTTTTTAATTAAATATAATGTATGTTTTATTTTAAATGTTTTCAAAATATTATGCATATGAATACCAAATTAGTGACAACCCGACTCGCTAATTCGTCGGTTTGGGTTACGCGGGTTGGGGTGTTACAATAAGTTTCTTCAAAATCAATGCCTTCTTCTTGATTGTAGACTTTAGCTACGAGCCTAGCTTTGTTTCTAGTGATTATTCCATTTTCATCGAGTTTGTTACGGAACACCCATTTTGTACCAATTATGGTATGATCATCGGGTCTTGGCACCAATTCCCAAACGTCATTTCGTTTGAATTGGTTAAGCTCCTCTTGCATTGCCAAGGTCCAATGTTCATCATTAATTGTTTCCGAAATGGTTGTAGGTTCAATTTGAGAAATAAAAGCCATGTGACCTATGGTGTCCCTAAGAGAGCTATGAGTACTTACCTTTCGGTTTATGTCACCGATTACCTTGTCAAGAGAATGGTTCTTTGAAGTCCTCCATGCCCTTGGCATTGGCGTTTCCTCCTCTTGTGGTTGTTCCTCGATTACGGGTGGCTCTACTTCCACATCTTGGCTTTCCTTTGAGTTTTCTCCTTCGTCATTGTCGTTGAGATAGATGTTCTCCAATGAATCTACAAGATCATCACAAGAAACCTTTCTCGCCAAGCGAGCATCATTTTCGGCAAAGACAACATGAGGAGATTCTCAATGGTTAAGGTGCGTTTGTTGAAGTCTCTATAAGCCTTACTACGCAATGAATAACCAAGAAAAATTCCTTCATCCGACTTTGCATCGAATTTGCCCAAATTATCTTTTCCGTTATTGTGAATAAAACATTTGCAACCAAAGACTTGAAGATGGGAGAGGTTTGGCTTTCTTACTTTGTATAATTCATATGGGGTTTTCATGAGTATCGGTCTAATGACGGCTCGGTTTAACACGTAGCTCGCGGTACTCACGGCATCCACCTAAAAATACTTAGGAATTTTTGCCTCATCGAGCATAGTTCTAGCCATCTCCTCGAGACAACGATTTTTACGTTCCACCACTCCATTTTGTTGTGGTGTACGTGGAGCGGAGAAGTTATGCTCGATGCCTAGTTCGTCACAAAACTCGGTAAAGAGATCTCGTTCGAACTCTCCACCATGATCACCTCGTTTGAACCTTTTTGAGAAAAGTTTTGAAAACATGAAATGCCTCACTTTTATGAGTTAGAAATAATGTCCATGTGAATCGAGAGTAGTCATCAACAATCACAAAGGCGAAATAATTTCCCCCAAAACTTTTCGTTCTTGAAGGTCCAAAGAGATCCATATGCAAAAGTTGTAGGGGCCATGTTGTGGACACAACATTTTTCGATTTAAATGAGGCCCTTACTTGCTTACCCTTTTGACATGAATCACAAATGGTGTCCTTCTCAAACTTGAGTTTTGGAAGACCAACTACTAGCTCTTCTGAAACCAATTTATTCAAAAGGTTCATGTTGACATGAGCTACTCTACGATGCCATAGCCACATATCATGCTCCTTACTCGTGAGACATTTGGCAAAGTCGGAGGGAGATTCATCTAAGTTAACTATGTAAATGTTATCAATTCTATCACCACAAAGAATCATCTTATTGTCACTAAGACGTTCTACCGTACATGATTTAGAATCAAAGGTGACACGATTTCCCTTGTCACACAATTGACTTATGCTCAAGAGATTGTGTAATGCCCGTTTTATATGGGATCTTAATAATTATTTATTTATTAGTTAATTAGTTTAAACAAAATTAATTCTTATTTACAAACAACCCGAAACCCGGTTTTACTTTATACAAACTTATAACTTATAATGTTAGTCCTATTCAGAGTATCTCTATTTAGGTTTTATAACTGATTAATACACTAGAACTAACCTTTGGACACATGTCTGCCAAATCAAGAATATATAAAGGAAATTATTATGATGTGAACTTTGAAATGATTTATTGAAATAAATCATTAGAACAAATTATATGAATTAAATGTGAGAAACCTTTTTGAATAAAGATCAACTAAATCAATTTTGACTCTGTCAAAGTCAAACACCTAAAAAATATGATGTCGGAAAAAGTATTACAAATAAATATAAAAATTATATCAATAGATAGAGTTTAACTGCCCGATCACAACGGTGCAAACGGAATTCAATTCGGAGAAAGTTGAACCAAAAAGTGTACCCCAACTGGAACCAAAATTGGTCCCAATCAGGGACACTGTGCGAACGGCGCCTCCTCCCCCACTCACTGATTACGAATCAATTTCCTACGCAGAAGCAGCTCAGCATTGTCCTCATTCCCTCATCAACCCCTATTTAAGAGAGAACTCATTTTCCCCAATACTACACCATTCTCTCTGCAAATTAGTTCATTAGAATCCTGAGAGTGAGGAGAGTGAACTGCTGTTGTTGGTTGCCGCCGAAGTCGCCGGAGTTGGGAGTAATCGTCGCCGGAAGTTTCGCCGGAAAGTATTCAAAACCTTCATTTACCTTCGAGGTAAGCCCGTAGATATATCTAATGACTAGAATGTTCGTATAGATCGTTTCTACGTTCATAAACGCTCGTTTGGTTGAGTTTTGTGTTTGACATGCTTGAAGAACCAAGAATCATAAACCATGGAATTGATGTTAAAACTATGAATTAATGATGCCAAAATGATCTATGAACCTTGGAGAACATCTCTATATAGTTTCGTTGAAGTTCGATAACTAAAAACGGTATTTCCGAAATTGGACCCGAACGAAGAAGAAGATGAACAGTGGCTGAAACACCACTGTCTGGATCGATCCAAGGGCTTGGATTGATCCCCTGGGAGTAATTTTTCATAGTATGGATCGATCCAGAGGACTGGATCGATCCCCCGAAGACCTGATCCAAAAATTTGTCTGAAAATGCTATTTTTGGAGCTCTAAAATCATATTTTTGATACCAATTGATTAGGATCATTATAAAAATGGTTTACCACAATAAAAATGATGTTTTTAACAACTAAAAATGTTATGTGTTGCATGACGGTAAGTTCGGGTGTTAACACTCGAAGCTAGGCCGCTATTTGTTATCAATTGTTATGTTAATTGATGATTATGATAAATGAATATTATGGATGATTATCAGTAATGAACCTACTGATTAAAATAAGTATTTATGATTGAATCATGAATAAAATGAATACAATTATAATTATGAAATGATTTATAGTGTTAAAAATATCTAGAGGAACTCTAAGATATACACATTTAGAGAATTGATGTTAAGGCTATCTAGAAGACCTCTAGAATAGATCTCATATTAGTATGGATTTGTAAAACATGAATATTTGATGAATTAGATAAAAACATATAAACGGGATTCGTAGACCAAGCTAGAGGATTACTCGTTTGGGAATGCTCGATCCAATGTTGATCAATTGCTATATTGTTGTTGTTGCCTTAACTGACTAAAGTTAAGTGTCTGAATCATTTGCCTTAAACTAGTGATAGTTTAAGTGTCTGATTGCCTTAACTGACTACAGTTAAGTGTCCGAAATCGATTGCCTTAAACTAGTGATAGTTTAAGTGTCTGATAATTAATTGGTTTTTGTAAGAGCATTATTATGATCTGGCCTTAGACTAATAATAGCTAAGAGCATTGTTATTATTTGGCCTTAGATTAAGAATAATTTAAGGGCACTGTCGGAATAATATCTGAATTGAATAAAATGTGTTGATATGAACTAAACATTTTCAAAACTGTGAATGTCTGAAATCAACATTGTGTGCATGACCTCAAATGATTTGATTATGAATTTAGATTCAGTTTATATGGATGTTCGACGCATTAGATATGCTTACTCAGCTTTACCGCTGAGCGTGTAGTGTGTTTTATTTGCTACACGCAGGTAAACAGAAAGATTAATGCGATCCTGGTGGCAGATGGGGCGAGATTGTCGGGATGGATGTGACAAGTTTGAAATGATTTATGATATGTCAATATTAAATTCGCTTCCGCAATATTTTTGAATACTCTGTACTGTATCTGTTATGAAAAATATTATTGTGATAAATAAAAAGTGTTTGAAAAAGTTTTAAATTGTTACGATTACCAAGTTAATACTTTAGTCCGAAAAGGGCTGCAGACCTGGACGGATTAGGGTGTTACA